GAGGCTCACGGAGCCGTTTATCCCTCCGCCCTTCAATTAACCCCACATGTGTTTATCGGTCAGGTTGGCACAATAAACTAACTCAAGACCCAAAGTGCACCTGTAAACAATTGGACATCCCCTTACAGAAGGGTCTCGGGGAGGAGACAAGCCAGTCAGGGTGCAGTGTAGCACCGATGAAACATACAACTTTCCTCTAGTTCTTTAATGTTTCCTCCCCCACTATCATGATCCCAATTCTACCTTACAAATTCAGCTAGACCAAAGCATGTACACAGATACAGATAAGAGCTGGACACACAGGGAATCCAGGACAGATAAACCCCTCAGGACCAATAATGAGAGTATCGGTACCAGGAAGGGAAGAAGGTGGGGGGAGAAAGGGGAAACCGATCACAATGATCTACATATAACCCCCTCCCTGGGGTGCGGACAACAGAAAAGTGGGTAAAGGGACATCGCAGTCAGTGTAAGACATGAAATAGTAATAATTTATAAGTTATCAAGGGTTCGTGAGGAAGGGCAAGGGAGGGAGGGGAAAATATGAGGAGCTGATATTATGAGGGGGAAATATGAGGGCTCAAGTAGAAAGAAAATGTTTTGAAAATGATTGTGGCAATAAATGTACAAATGTGCTTGACACAATGGATGGATGGATGTACTAAGAGCTGTATGAGCCCCCAATAAAATGATTTTTTTTAAAAAGAGCTATGTTGGCATGAGTGTTTCTTTAACTATCCATTAACTATCTGTTGGCATTTCTAATAAGCCTTAGAGATTAGTCAGTAGCCAGGTTCTAACATCAAGGAGTTTCAGTGGTGTAGTAGGTGATGCTCTGACCAGCTAACCACAAAGTCAGCGGTTCCAACCCACCAGCTGCTCCTGGACAGATTTAAAAGAGCTGGAAAAATCAAAGGAGTCTTTGTGGCTATGAGTTGGAATGGAACAGACTTGAAGGCAGTGAGGTTGGGTTGGGTTTAACCTCCAGGTGGGTGTGTTCCACAAGAAGACCTGTGACTCAGTCCCTGCCCCTGGGCATTTGGCAGGTTCTTTGATTGCTCTGCCACCTCAACCCTCAGTTGGCTTCTCTGTACTGCAACATGCTCAGCCCTCCACAAGGGGAAAGCTGGGCTCTGCCTGGCCCTGCCCTCATGTGCAAAGTGAACTGGGCTTGCATGCCAGCCTCTCTCCTGACTGGATTCCTTTCTTCCCCGCTCTCCGTCAGCAACCTCCTTGTCTCCTGTTAAACCCAGGAAAGGGAAAGGACTTGTAGTAGCACACAACATCACATCACTACAAAGCTACTTCAGGCCTCTCTGGCCAAACAGGAAGGGGGCCTGGCCTCCAGGGAGGATGTGATAAGAGGTCAGCTATCTCTCAGGACTCAAGAGAACCTCCTAGTAGAAAGGCCAGGTGGATTAGGAGGAGTTTGGTTCAATTCCAGGAGAGGGGAAGGCTATGGGGTTAGGAGGAGAGGCCTGAGAGTCACATCTGTCAGGTGTTGGGTGGGTGTTGTGTCCCCCCAAAAAATATGTGTTGTAAATCCTATGCCCTATACATGTGGTTAGGAGCCCTGGTGGAACAGTGATTACGCAGTGTGCTGCTAACTGCAAGGCCAGCAGTTCAAAACCATGAGCTGCTCCCAGCTGAGGTTGCATTGACTGCGCTTTTTGCATATTTGTGTGCCTTTTGGTGGTGATTTCAGTGTTTAAAACAGCCGCCAAACAGAATGCTAAAGCATCAGCTACAGTTCCATCGTGCAGAAATGCAAGGTGTACTTTGTAGAAACATGTGTGTGCCAGATAAGCTTTGCTCAGGCTTGCCCGGCCGTGCTCCTGGCTGGGAGTTCCATGTGGGCCCACCAGCAACTGATGCCAAAGGGATCTGGAAACACAACTGTATGGATCAACTGATGGAAATGCTGTGACTGGAGCCTCACAGGAGCCTAGCTCTGTATTCCCCGAAGAGCAACAACTCAGTATTTGATAATTAAGTGTCTGCAGTAACTTTATAATGAAAAATGAGGGTTTGTGGTATTGCTACCTGTTAAATACTTTCCCATCAAGTACATATGTGCTTGTATGAGGGCAATTTGGCAATATTAATATCAATACTAATCAAATCTTAAAATAAGACCTAGAGCTATTCATAGGCTATTTTTTTCTTTTTATTTTCCTCCTATGTCTATCTATAGAAGATAGGCAAGATAAACAATCTCAAGGAGAAAACAACAGACCAACGGTTCCAGGGGTACAGGGGCAGGGGCGGGGGATGGAGGGGGAAGCCAACAAACCCAGAAACAAGGGAACAAGTGATCTGAAATCAATGGCGAGGAGGTCACAGAATGCCTTGTGGGGTTGTATCAAGTGCAATACAGCCGAGAGAAAGTATCAGAAGCTAATGAAGGTCAAACATGATAGTGGGAGAGAAGGAAAGTAAAAAGAAACTGAGGAAAGAACAAGGAGGCAAAAGACATTTACAGAGGTATAACATAGGCATGTACATATGTAACTATGTTAATATACAACAATAGGGATATAGATCTATGTTCACCTATTTATAGGTTAAGTATTGAGATAGCAGGCAGACTTTGGACCTCTACTCAAGTCCTCCCTCAATGCAAGAACACTTTGTTCTAATGACCTGGCATTCTGTGATCACCTTCCTGACAGGATCACTGAAGTCAAAATGGGTGCATAAACCAATGTTGTGAAGTAAGCTGATGGTGCCGGCTATCAAAAGATATAGTGTCTGGGGTCTAAACAAGCGGCCATCTAGCAGGGAAGCAACAAAGTCCACATGGAAGAAGCACACCAGCCTGTGGGATCACGAGGTGTCAACAGGGTCACATATCAGGCATCAGAAGACCCCAAACAATTATACTGATACAAGGGAGGGGGGTCGGAGTGAAGACCCAAAGTCCACCTGTAGACAACTGGACATCCCCTCACAGAGGGTCACAAGGAAGGGACGATTCAGCCAGGGTGCAGTATAGCACTGACGAAACACACAACATTCCTCTAGTTCTTTAATGCTTCTTCCTCCTCACTAGCATGACCCAGTTCTACCTAACAAATCTGGCTAGAACTAGTACAGATAAGAGCTCTGGACCCCGGGATCCGGGACAGATAAAGCCCTCAGGAACAGCAATGGGAATAAGGATACCAGGAGGATAGGGAGGAAGGTGGGGGAAGATGGGGAAGAAATGGGGAACTGACTACAATGACACACAACATCCCGCCCTCGATCCCCAGGGGAACGAACAAAACACGGATGAAGGGAGACAGCGGTGGGTGTAAGATATGAAAATAATAATAATTTATCAGTGGTCCATGAGAGTGGGAGGGTGGGGAAGGGAGGGATAAGAGGAGCTGATAACAAGGGCTCAATCAGAAAGAAAATATTTTGAAAACGATGAAGGCAACATATATACAAATGTGCTTGATACAATTGATGTATGGATTGTTATAAAAGCGGTAAGAGCCCCCAATGAAATGATTTATTAAAATTAAAATAATAAAAAATGTAACCCCCAAACTTAAAATATGCAAAATCGCAACCTTGTCATTTCAGTGTTGGAAAACATCCTACAGCTACACTCACATGTGTACCCTGTAAAAGGTATGTATGTCCAAGGGTGTGCGTCATGCTACTGTGCAAAACCGAAGAATGCTGGTGCAGCCTAGGCACCTACCAACAGGGGATGAGCCTCTGTCCAAGATTTGCAGGGTGCTGCGTGCCGACCTGAAGTACCACCAAGATCTAATGCTAAGCCACGCCCAGTGCCATGGAGTAATTGCAGCTCATGGCTGCTCTAGAGGACTGATAGACTGCTCCCGCGGGTCTTCGAGGCTGTACGTCTTTACAGGTCCTCACGTTTCTCCAGAGGGGCGGCTGCTGGCTGTGAGGGCTGACCCTGCAGTCAGCAGCCCAACACACCATCCACCATGACAGCAAGACTCCGGAGAGCTGCGAGACGAGGTGAAGGCAAAAAGAAGCTCCACGGCGCGTGCACCTCTTTGTATTAAAAATGGCTGCAAATATACACCTGTGTGTATTCAACTAGTAATCTACAGGTGGGCGGTTCTAACGCATGCACGGGGAGGCCCCGCAGAGACGAGACCTGCTCCCAGGATAACAGCCGAGAAAACCCCACGGGGACGTTCCCCTCGGTGGCACGTGGGGTCTGCATGGGTCAGAATCGCCTTGCCCACCGAGGATTTGGTCTTTGTGCGTGGAAAATTGCCAGAAAGACAAGCAATTGTTAACAGTGGTTACTTCTTGGGACATAAAATGGAAAACTTTTCACTTTGGGGGTGGGGGGTGTTATAGCTTTTTATTGATCGACGTGTGGAATATCTGAATAGATAAGCACCGTGTAAAACGCACAGAAGGTGTGATCATCGAGCCTCCGTTCAGCACCTTCTCCCGGGCCACTCGGCTCCTCCCCGGGAGGGAGGCCTCCAGGACAGGGTCCAGTGTGGGAGACGAGGGAGACGCCTGCCTGTCCCTGGGGTGAAAGTGCCCCTCGAGAGCTGACCGGCGCTCTACTCACAGTTGAGGACGATCTGCGCGGCGCGGTAGAGCTGCAGGCTGCGCAGCAGGTCCACGAGCTGCCGCACGGTCGCCTGCCGCATGGCCCACCACCACAGCAGCTCCCGCGTGATGCTGACGCCCTGCACCCGCTCCATGGCCTTGATCTTCCGCAGCTGCGTCAGGTCCGTGATCACGTAGGAGGCTGCAGGGGACGGGGAAACGCTCAGCTCAGGGGTGCGAGGCAACCCCTGCCCCTCCACCCCTGCCGGCTTCCCACGCGGGGTCCACGGGCAGCCCGCGTGACAGCGCCGGTCCCATTCCGTACCCTTGGGGACCAGGCCGTCAGCACCGCTCAACTAAGGCGCCTCGCAAGGCTCGGAGGGTGGGGGGGCCTTGAGGTTTAGCTCCTAGGACAGGTCATTTCCCCGGGGTGAGCCTCAGTTTCTCCACTGTAGCACGGGGACAGCAGCTGGCCTGCCTCCCTTCTAGAATGGAACAGTAGGCAGCGAGTTCACTGCGTCCATTCCCGAGAATCCGCCCCGCCTGCGGTACACAGCAGGGAGGGAATCCGCCCCGCCTGCGGTACACAGCAGGGAGGGGAACGCGCATGAATCCCCGGGACAGGACACCGTGAGGAGAACGCGGATGAATCCCCGGGACAGGACACCGTGAGGGGAACGCGGATGAATCCCAGGTGGAGGACAATCCCCGGGACAGGACACCGTGAGGGGAACGCGGATGAATCCGCGGGACAGGACACCGTGAGGGGAACGCGGATGAACCCCTGATGCGAGAACAGTGAGAGGGCGGTGGATGAATCCCCGATAAAGGCCCGAGGTTCATCAACAGCACTGTCTCCTCGGTCGGGAGATGCGCTATTTGGACATGGCCTCTGCCTGTCAGTGGAGGCCTGCGTGTTGCTAAGATGCGAAACAGGTTTCGGTGGAGACTCCAGGCTACAAAGGACTAGGAAGAAAAATCAGCCATTGAGAACCCTATTGACGGCTCAATAGGGTCCAATCATGGGCTGGTGCGGGATCGTGCAGCATTGCATATGGTACACTGGTCATGGGGCCGCCACTAGTCGAGGGCTAACCCAGAAGCAGTTAACAACGAAAGCCTGGCACAGGGGGTGGCAGGGCTGTGACTAGGGGAGGATGAGTTGTTTGTTTGTTTGTTAGGGTGCAGATTTTGAGGGAGCACCTGCTTACAGAACTGATCTGGGATGTGCTTGCCCCTGTGAGAAAGGGCTGCCTCCAGTTTTGTGCCCCTGGTGCCTCACTAGCTCCATAGTGAAGTGTCCCTGCTAGTCCCCAGTGGGTGAGATGCAGTTAGGCAGCTAAGGTGGCCCTTCTCTGATGTGTTGTAAATTCCAGCCTCTACACGGGCGATGTCAATCTGGTTTTGAAGGGAGTTGTCTGAAGCGGGATTAGGGTGGGGTACACCGTGAGTCCTCACCTTACTGGAGGGCACGTCTCAAGTCACCACCCTTTGCTTCTTGGGGAGTGCAGTGCACAGAAGGCAAAAGCCACGCGTCCATCAAAGCTATCTTTACGACCTCCTCTTCCCGCCTCAAATGCACAGAAGCAGAACCTGCTTGGACTTCTGGACATTGGCTTCTGGCTCAGGCTCTTTGGTCTGGCGTGCCTATGCCTGATCTTTGGATCTTGGGACTTGAGTTGCCACCTATGGCCTGCACTGATGTCACCAGCTTCCTCAGTCTGGTGGATGAGAAGGTGCCTCCAGACAGGTGTCGAGTTATTTGTTCATTCATTCATTCTACATATACTACAGGGCACCCACAGTGTGCCAGGCCTGTGACACCTCTCTCTGGTGATGCCCTGGGCAGTAAACCAAAACCCCAAGGAGGTTCGTTTGGGGAAGACAAGCTGTTACGGATCGACTTGTGTCCTCCAAGAAGGTATGGGAACCCTGACCCCCATGCCACCAGCTGATCTGCAGGAGAGAGAGGAGATGGACAGTCTCAAGAACCTTCAGGAGCAGTTCTACTTCTGGTGTGTTTTTGCTGAGCATATTCTGAATAACAAACATATGAGTAAGATTTAGAAAAACAGAAACCTGCTCGAGAGCTAAGCCGAGAGCTGTCCTACAGAGGCTTCCCCGAGAGCCGGTGCCTTCAATTCATACTTCCACTCCCTCAGATGGTGGGGAAGTACATGTCTGCTCGCTACAGCCACACCTGGTGGCCTATCTGTCACAGCCAAGCATAAGACACAAGCAGAGGTGGCCGGAGGGGGCAGGGTAGGCATGAGACTAAATGAACAAACTAGGCCATGGTGGCCCGGAGCGCCAGGCCACGACATCTGGGCTTGGGGACCTTGGAGGTCTTAGGCAGCGGTGAGAGCACCCATATCCCTTCTGTGTGGGCTGGATTAGGAGAGGTGACAGGCCCCAGCTGCCTGAAGAGGTGACGAGTTAGAGATGGAAAGTTCCTGCGCTGTAATTTGAGTCACTGGAAACCCCAGGCCAGATTCCTGGTCAGTGGGAAGTGACATCAGCAGTGTCAGGGCTGCCTCAGGCTGTGGAAAGAGCAGACCTAAGGGAAGAGGAAG